CTTTACTTATTGTCTAATTTAAGTAGTTCTCTGCACAGATGATTAGACTATCTGATTAATTCTACACTATGCTACTATACCTGTAACCCACCTGTAAGTTACCTATTTAAACACTCTATTCATTAATTTATACAGATCTAACTTAATGTCACTGCAACACGTAACTGCTTAAACCAGCTAGCTCATTAGAGATCTATTTATTCAGAATGGCTTAGATCCTCTCGAGATATATTGTATCTAACATATTGTAGGTATCACAAAGCCAGTTAACCTTGAAGCATATCTACTAGAGTAGTTTGTATCTATTTTACAGATTCACTTAGCTTAGATCCTTGTAAATGTTCGAACAACTCTAGTTCCTACTATAGCTTTCCACTAGTTTTCTGTATTCTATAATCTCAAATATTTCATGAAACAGATTCTCCTAATCCAGTTAGCTACCAAGCCAAGTTGGTGTTACCAATTCTCCCTGTAGATCAAATTTATGTATACTCAACTCAATCTGTATCTTTTGACAATAGTTTCCTTTCTAAATCAAGCATTAGCCAGTGTAACTATCAAAGGCTATACTACTTCACTAACTTGGGATTTCTACAATACAGGTCCCCTGCCTGTAGATCCTATCAAGATTTATTTGTGTAATGTTATGTCTCACCAAATGCCTCATCACACTTCCAATATCCAGATGATATTGGTACAATGTGATTTACAAGGTTACAACCCCAGAAACAGACAGAGTTTACCGTAAGTTGGGTACAAAGGTTCAGGTAATTATTCAAATTCGTTGACAGTAGGATTTGAACTCCAGACCTCTTGCATGGCGGTCTGGCAACCTAACCACTACACTAAAATCACCAGACCCAAACTTGGCTTTTTTTATTTGTATAAAAATACAAAATTAGATCTTTTTTTTTTTTTTTTAAAAAATTTTTTTTTTTTTAGCAAAAAAAAAATCTAATTCTATTTTAATATTTTGTAAGTCCCCTATTAGCTTTTATGCAAGCGGCAACTCGATCAGGCATACTTCTGATAAGCTCACAGCAATAGCTTAATAGTATATTTTTCCACGCCTTTTTGACAAGAACATCAAGATCTTTAAGCTTACTCGGCCTTTTCTTATCACGCAAACCCTTATGCAAAGCCTTTTTTACCATATACTAAAGGTTCTCTATAGAATTCAGATCAGGACTCTGAGGCAGCCAATTCATCACCCGAACCTAATTTTTACCTATAAACTCCTTTGCATTCGTAGCGGTATGGGGTCTTGCATTGTCCTGAATAAAGATCAGAAGATCATGATTACTGTTTGCTAGAAATCTTTTTATAGTGGGAAGAGCATACTTTCAAAGAATTTTGGTGTGTGAGTCACCTGTAGCAGAAGATGTTAATGCAACAAGAGGCCCAACTTCAAACCAGGAGAAGCAACTCCAATACATTTGACCTTTACTGCGCTTTACAGTATAACTCAAGCAATCAATACTCCATTTCTCCTCAGGTTCACACCACACATAGATAGGGGTACTCAGAAAAAGACGAACAGTGGTTTCATTAGACCACAATACATGTTTGAAGTGCTGGACAGTTTAGTATTTATGTTCAAGAGCCTATTCATATCTCTTTTTTTAGTTCGCTGGGAAAAGCAATAGCTTCTGGAGGTGACACATGAGGACAAGTTCAAATCGTGCAAGGCATAACGTATGGTACTTTCTGAAAAGTTTTTTTTGCTTTTTTTATTAAAGAGAGTGGTGAGTTGAGTGAGTATGAGATAGTAGTTGCTATTAGTGACAAAATTTTTCAAGCTTCTAAGATTAGAAGGGGTTAAGAATCTTGGACGTCTAGTTTTTTTTTTTTTTTTAGTACTTCTACACCTAACTGACGAAATGCCTTTACAACATTTCATATGGAAGACTTGCTATAGCCAACAGTAGCAGCAATCGTGCGAAGTGAATCTTCTTATTGGTGGCTATAAATTATTATACCTTTTTGCTTTTCGGTCAAATCTTTGCAGCTACTCATTTTTTTGGGAAAAAAAAACTCAAGATCATCTTTGTTTTGTTAATTCTGCCAATCCGTCATTTATATATACCTTTTTTTAATTTAAGTAACATTACCTAGGTATTGCATAATATTTGAGCAAAATTTGGAGCTATTACAAAAAAAAATCGATTTTTGGTGAATTTTTCTTTTAAAAGAAAAAAAAGCCAAAATCGATTTTCGTATATATCTAAAAATGGTAATTTGGCTTGTCTTTTGCATAACTTTTGCGCAATCTAATGAATCCAAGTGAAATTTTAGTATGTTGTACATTGGAATCTACTAAACACGTGATATAACTTTCGTGCTGCATATACTTACCTGTTCTTGAGCAATCATGATCCAAAAAGTGTCCACACTTATATGGTAGGCCACTGTCAATTAGTGAAAAACAGTGAAAAATAATTTTCACTAATTAAAAACTGATCTTCCAATCCATTTATTTAGCTATAATTGAGGTGCTTGAGAACACCCTTAGTCTATCAAATAGAATCTATTTAAACATACTTTCATACTTTTTTTTTTAGCTCTAAGTTGAAAATATTTAATGCAATCATCAACATATAGTATTCGAACTCTTCTTTTTTATTCTTTTTAATACCGATGCACCAGTTATAACAGAAACTAGTTCAGAATCAATCCTTCATTATCGCTTAATTCTGTAGCTTTTTATAATATTTAAAGGTCTTTTTTTTGTCATTTTCAACTTCGATGCCATATTGGTATTAGTGATGCCATTATAATGTTTTAACATTACTGTGTTTTAGTTTTGTCATGTGATAAAACTTGTAGTTAAAATATTAAACTATAATTAAAAGAAATAAAACTAAACTAACATTAAAATAAAATATATATATATAATAGTTTGAGATTTTTTTAATATTATATTTAAATCAATTTGATAGTTGGTTTAGAGTATATGAAATACTTAGACCACCAGCTGCAAAAATATATTCCTGATAGGGTTTTTAAAAGAACCTGAAGCTAATTTCTCATAATGTGCTTAGTTATAATAAGGATGTCAAAGTCTTGACTCTTAATTGATTCATAACATTGATCTTAATGTAAACTTAATAATTTACTTTAACATTGATCTTTAAGATAATAATATATAGTTATTGGATGCGAAGCATCCAATAACCAAAGTTATTTAATAATCTTTTGTTGTTTCCCGAATATTAACCTTTTAATTAGATTAGGTAGTCATTATTAAGCTTCAAATTTTTGCGCTATAGTTTATACTTTGGTAGTAATGTAGTTTTTAGGATTCTATCAGAAATAGCACATAATTTGATTTTTTTTTTTCAATCCTATCAGGAACAGTACTGACGATCTATCAAGTATGATATTTTTGCAACTCAGCCTAGTCAAAACTTGTAAACTTTTGAATTATATATATATATATATATATATATATATATATATATATATTATAATAACCAGGTAGACTTTTTTTTTAAAAAAAAAAAAAAAATTATACAAGTTTTATATATAAATTTTTTTTAAAATTATTTTGTATAGCTGGAGATTTTTAAATATGAACATTATTCAGAATATTAGAAAAAGGGAATACTAAATATAGTAGAATTACATTTAAATGTATCAATATGGAACAATTTATCTTTACGTAGAAGTGATTAACATATTTAATATACCATACTTAACACAAATGATATAATAAATAATAACGAGACTTATATTATGAGTCATTGTCACTTTAGCAAGTTCTAATTACTTGATATTGAAAATATCTAATATAGTAGATCTTACACTATCTTGTTTTAGTTTCAGCAAATATGAATTTCAAATGTGAAAAAAATTAGATTACAATCTAAATTAACATCAAGCAAGTTATGGAAATATGGTCTTAGAAGCGTTGATGAGGTCTTAGGAACTTAGATCGATAATGATTAGTTGCTAAATTATATAATAGTAAAATGTAAAATGTTAGTAATACAGTATATTAAATATGAACAATGCTTAAAGTTAATAAATTTTGCACTAAATAAAATAGCTTATTATTTTTGAGTTCTTATTGTTTTATTGCAAGTATAAATAGTTTATAAGTTTTTACAGTTTAAACTAAACTTCGAAGATATAACTATATAAACCTTTAAAGTAGCTACTTTAATTTTAACAAATGTAGAAATGAGTTATGATGATATTACTAGTCTAATAAAAAATATCAAGGAGAAAATTTTACTTATATGTATTTCTAAATCTAACTTAAATATGTCCCTAACCCTAATATTAAATAAATAAACGTTTAAATTAAAACTGCTTCGCTTTATCCAACCTCCAGAGAATTGATGAGAATCAGCTCGACAAATGAGTTATTTTTAATAACCATACTTTATTGTGTTTTTACTAACATCGCAATTATTTTAGTATAGTTCTAAATAAAATTACTGAGGTGTTTCACTTTTCCAACACCATTTCTACCTATAAAAAAATATAAGTAGTTGCTAGAAGTAGCAACAAAGGCGGTATTGGAGATACACTAGAAGCGGTATTGGCGACATCATTGAAGGATATCATTGGTATATCGTGATAGTTGTTCAATATTGTAATCTTGATATTGGAGAGAAAAGCATTGCTATGTGGTCTTTTTGCCAACATTAAATATAAGACTCTTTGTATTCTTCAAGAATTTCTGGACAATCACTTATATGTGGTAGTCCCCTATCCTACAGTGTCTACAGAAAGCGAAGTGCTCCCATTTATGAAAAAGAAAAATATAATAAAATAGTATGAAAAAAAATTCAAAATATAAAAATTTGTAAGTTTATATCTTAATTGATTAAATATATAGTATTTAAATTACTAAATATTATTTAAACAATAACAGAAAAAAAAAATCATCAAAAGAAAAAATATCAAAAAAAAAAATGAAAAATTAAATAATCGTAGTCAAAATCAACATATGTATGACCGATTGATATCTAATGTTATGATTAACTTCTCTGATATGGGTAAGATCAAGTATCTGTACATATTTAGAAATAAGGCTATTTGAAGTTGATTCTTCGATTAACGTAACCCCCCTTCCTCTTTCTAGCTATCCCTCTGGCCACTATCAAAAGTGAACAAGCCAATCATAGCATTATAATATTGTTATCTAATCATATCTCATCCAGTAATTGTCTTGTGATTAGCCTGTTTAATTTTTTTTTTTTTGTTATCCCCCCTCCTGCTCGAGCTCAAAAGTTGACGTTAACTGAAGAATCAACTTTAAATGGCTTAATGATAGTTAAAGCCCTTTTGCTTAATAAAGCTGATGAACTAACTTGCATTCTCTTGATAATATTATGTAATAGTGACCAAATATCAGGTGGCAGAATAGTATGACTTTAGACTAAGTGAAATTAAGATTGATTTTAGTAGTTTAGTTGGCTAAACTAGATGTTTCATATTTCTATATTTGAATCTTATACAAATACCGTAATTTTGCTTAGGACTAATAGGTTTGGTTAGGTAGTTAGTAGTTCAAAGGTCAAAAAGATGTGTAAGCTACTTATATATTATCCATACTGGTTCTAATGAATTTATTTTCTTATAAGCTTGACGTCAAAGATACTGCTAATTTATGGGTGAACAAATCCTGTGTGGTCTTGCAAGATGCCACCAATGTCGTCATCTCATCAAAGTGTAATTATACTGACAAGACTACTGAAATTTGTTGTATCCTCCTGCAACCATTCGGGTCAGTTCAAAAGCATGCTAAAGATTTGCCACTATTAGTACAAGCACCTCTTGCACGCAAATTACTAGTAGTGGCAAATAAAGAGGTCAAATATCCTGAACTTGAAGATTTTATTTTTACATGTGAAACAGAAAAACAAAGTGATATAGCAATACATATCTCCAGCATACTTAATAGCAACATTCAACGAAGGTTTAAAAACAGTATGTCAGAAGATATAATGCATATGCCACTAGGTCTTCTAATAACAAGCGTCTTTGAAAGCTTCAAGGAATATCTTGGTAAAGACCTGCTGATCAATCTTGATCGGAATAAGTCTGATTCAGGATCAAACAACAAAGGGATACGAGTCATAGACAGAAATTCATTTGATTGGCTAATATAAATCAATTATTCGGGTAACTTATTTATACTTTTTAAGGACGTAAAATTACACAAGCAAAAAATTGTCGCAAACATCATTTCTAGCTTCAAAAGAGTGCTAGAAAACTAACTCTAAAATTAATCTTTTATAATCTTATATTTAGAGAAGTTAGCTTAGATGCGACTTTTTACACTAGGTAAAGAAAAAAAAGGCTTTGTTTGAATTTTAACACGCACTAAAAAAATAGTTACTAACAGAATAGTTGGTTTTTTTTTTTAGAGATTGAAATTTGAAGTTTGGTTTTTGAAGCAGAATAGGCTTGTTAGCGATGTTAGCAATAAGAGATCTAGGTTTAAGACACCCTTAAATTGGTTTGGTTAAGTTTGGGTTTATACAGTATATAGATCGTAGATATGAGTTTGGATTCTTAGTAGTTAAATTTAGTAAGTTCTGGTTGTTTTAGTAGTTGAACAACGATTTTACTCCTCTTTACATATATACACCTATCTTTTATATGTATATAATTAGTGCTTTACTGATTCGTATAAACTTTTTTTCTTAAAATTTTCGTTTTTAGTACTGTAATATTATAAAATAACGAATAAAAATTGTGGGTTTATTGGTTAATAATCACGTGTTGATCTGCAAATCGATCTAAAAATTAGCCAATCAGACAAACTTCTGTCTATAAGATACGAGTAGGATACGAGCGGCCAGACTTCCTTTGTTGGGTTAAGGACGCTCTTCTCCTTAAAGGAGAAGAAAAAGCCAACATGGACCAGTTCGATGTTGCAGCAAGCGAACTCATCAGCAAATTTAATGTAATCGATCCGCAAAAATTCGGAGACATTAAGTTTATGATGGGTTATGCAGCAGCAGGTCCATTGGTACAATTTTATTCTATCGATGGGTCATCGAAAAAGCTAATTCCATTGTCAGATCAGCTCAATAGTAAGTTGATTCAAGATCGAATTAGCCTCATTCGCATGACCATCAACATTGCAAGGGTAATAATAGCCATAAAGGATATTATTCCTGTTGGTTTTCCAAATAAAAGAAAAAAATTTAAAAAATAAATAATAATTTAGAGGAAGTAGTGAGTAAGGATTAGTGTTGGAAATTCGATGTTCTCATGTTTTCATAGAACATCATACCCTAATTTGAGAATATTCTCTTTAAAAAAAGTATTATATTTTTTATTTATAAGAACATTAATTTGAGTAAGCCCAATATAAAATGAGAACATTTTTTGAAAATTTAAGAACATTAATTTTTAAAAAAATAGTTCTTGTGAGAACATTTAAATCAGTTTGAATTTCCAACACTGGTAAGAATGTTAATTATTTGACCAGTAAATTTTAACCATTTTCTCAAGGCTACAAAGTTAGCATAGTAGGCTAGTAATGTAATGGAGCAAAAATTTGGCGGTCCCATAGGTTCCGAGAAAAAGGAATCTACATATGTCTTTATATAATTATAAGATAGCTGCGCTAAAAAACAAGCGTGTCAAACATAGAGATACAGACATAATGCCAACAAACTTGCTATAATTGTAATGGGTTATGATATTTTTGGCATAACGGTAAGGCATTATGATCAGATACAATTTCCAGATTGTAATAAGTAAAAGTAATTTGTTAAACAAATAATGTTCCATTATAAGAAACTCCTTATTGAAAATTTGATTCGTGAAATTTGATGATTAAGTTTAATATAAGTTATAAAATATAATAGATAATATAGTTTATCGCATAGGTCTTATGTGCTTTTTCTGAAAGCTTATTCATACCGGTCTATATGAAAATCATGTGACACACGATTTTCATATACGTAGACTGGTGCTATTTTTTTTTTTTATATATTATCATTCGTTATTTCAGTATTTGCTAAACTATACGTACGTATACATATTAAATGAACAATAACGTAAGTAAAAACAAGTTATATTACAAGTATTTTTATAATGTCGATACATACATAAAAAGCATACTGATATACAAATATAGAAAGTCAAGTTACAAGGAAGGGTTTTGCGAAATTGACATATCACTTGTTAGTAAACCGTACTGTTCTTCGTATTCCGTTCTTGGCATATTAGATATATTCGTTTACTATTCTAAGCACCCTATATTATTTGACGTTCTCCCGATTGATGGTAACGCCAAGCTAGTAATAACTTGATAAGAGTTCCTTTTTTGTTTACTCCAAAGTTCTTAACATATAATTAAATCTCGCATTGCGTTCTTTTTGTTTCTTTGTCTCGATAAAATTCCCTGAATCGTATCTTATACATTGATTAGAATGTATTTTTAGCCACGAAAATTTCATATTCACGTTATACTCGAAAAAAAATTCTTTTAAAGTTCATTTACTTTAGGGTTATGGAGTTACAGTAATTTTTAACACTACCCTAAATTTTTAAGGTGGTGAGATGGGTTTGACGTGATAATTATTGATTTTATTGATTTTAAGGTTTTTTTGATAGATGCGTTATTTAATCGACTTATAATATTATGTATTTTTTATTTTAAATATAAACTTTATCGTTATTATATCAAGAGCTTTTGATGCAGTAAAGAAAATACTACCAGTATATCTTTAATAACTTCAGCAAATTTTGCCTGGAATTTTTGAATCATATGATAAATATTTTTGTAACACAAAATTTTACTAGTAAAGGCCCATTGTTTTGCAGCAGTTGTATTTTCTCAAACAACTATCATCTATTCTTACTTTCAACAACATAACATTAAAAATGTCATACGAAGAAATTGTTAAAATTACTGCCAATTTAGGTCAATTGAGTCTTAATGATTATGAAAAATTAGCAGAAAAAGAAGATTTTAAGGGAATATTCATGCTTGGCTATTGTTATGAATATGGAATTGATGTTGAAAAAGATGAGAATAAGGCATTCACATACTATAAAAAATCTGCTGAATTGAAATAATTCTTATGAAATGATCAAGCTGGCTATTGTTATCTTAACGGAATTAGATGAACTCCAGGCATTTACTTGGTATGAAAAATCAGCAAACGCAGGAAATTCTAACGGAATATATCAAGTTGGAGTTGGTTATGATTTAAGAATTGGAGTTGAGACCGATAAGCAAAAAACATTTGAACACTACAAAAGTTCTGCTAAGGGAGGTAATTTAAAAGGATTCTTTAAAATAGCCTTTTATCTGATGAAATGGGACGTGCTGATGGAATGCTTCAAGCTGGCTACTGTTATCTTTACGGAATTGGAGTTGAAAAAGATGACCACAAGGCATTTATTTGGTATAAAAAATCAGAGATATGAATAATTCTGATAGAATATTTATGCTTGGTTATTGTCATGAACAAGGAATTAATGTCGAAAAGAATGAGTATAAGGCATTCAAGCACTATCAAGAATCTGCAAATATGAATAATTCTAACGGAATATTTCAAGTTGGCTTTTGTTATTATAATGGGATTGGAGTTGAAATGGATAAACATAAAGCATTTGAGCATTACTTAAAATCAGCTGAAATGGGCAATTCTATTGGAATCTTTAAAACTGCTATTTGTTACAATTTCGGAATTGGCGTGGAAATGAATAGAGATAAATTTAACGAATGGTTTGAAAAGTAAGTTAATATTAATTAATCTACGGTAATTTTTCAGTAATATACTACTTGCTTATTTATATAATATATATATCGATATATAATTTTAATTATCAGGGAGTAAGCTAAGAATATAATTAATTAATCTACATATTAAAATCTG